TGCGACAGGCCAGAACCACGCGCGCTCCCCGGCGCGCCAGCTCCAGCGCCGTCATCTTCCCGATGCCACTGTTGGCTCCTGCGGATAGCGGGCGGGAAGCAAGATGAGTCGGGCAGGCCGCCCCCGCAGCCGCAGCCCAGGCCTCCCACCTGCCCGCGCGTCCTCACCGGTGACCACGGCTGTGCGGCCCCGCAGGCTGGCAAGGCAGCCACACGGCGGGGCCTTCACCAGGTTGTAGTAGATAAGCACGTAGAAGCCCAGCAGCAACCCCGCGCCCAGCAGCAGCGCCTCCATGACGGCTGCGCCTCTGGGCTCTCGCCCAGGGCCCGCGCTGCACTGGATCGCCGCCCGGAAGCCGCCGATTCACCCGGCTCAGGCCTGGAAGGGAGCCCGCAGCGCTTCGCCATCCGGGAGACAGAGGCGGGAGCGAAGGCAAGGCAGGGGTGTGTGCGCGCGCGAGTGTGCGTGTGGCCCTGCGAGCGCCCTCTAGGCGTGCATCCACGGCCTTTTGTGTGTGCCTGTGCGAACTCCTAGGTGTGTACGTAACATCTGCATTGTCTGTGCCATGTCAGTGACTTCCGGCATGTATGTACTCCTGGACCTTGTGTATGTATGCATGCTTTTGAAACCTCCCTGCGCAAGGGCGGATTGCCCAATAAACAAGAGAAACACCAGGTTACTTGTGCTTCTTTACTAGTCTGTCATGAATAATTTCACAAATTTCAATACAGCAAATTTTCTGCTTCATAGCCATAACCAAACAGCTAGAGGGAATGAATCTTGGAGGATATCAGGGTCAACTCGCATTATATAGCCTCCCATCACCTCCCCCAAAATGAAGAAAATTGAACTGTTTAGTGCATAGGCCAAATGAATTTCTGTCTCCATAACCCTAAGACAAGAACTAGGCAGTGCCTGATTACTACTGTCAACTGCTTTGGGATCACAAATTGAATGAGATTACAATAAAAGATAGAGTGGGGGTAGGGTGGAATGGGAAGTGTGGAAAACTCAAATTCATTAAAAAAAGAAAAAAAAGATCAGGCTTAAGGGACTGATAGAGGCTGGTGGAATTCCTGACTATAGATACTCTGGCCTCAAGAGTAGACTTGAAATATCCAGGATTCGACTTTCATCTAGGTAATAGACAGTTCTATTGAGTGACAGGTAAACCAGGAGGTATGCTCTCCTTAGAACTACCAGCCATACAAGATCATAAGGGCAGCATTTGCCCAGAGACAAAGCTCAGAGGGCAGGAAGGATAGAAGGAAGGACAAACAGAAGGTAATACAAGAGGTAGTAGGAAGAGAGCTGTTAAAATGGGATTGTAATCAACATCACAAAATAGAATGTATGTGAATTACTGAATGGAAAACCAATTTACTCTGTAAATTTTTTCTCAGATCACACACACCAAAAAAAACCCAAAAATAAGATTCCCCCCTTCTAGATTTAACTGGCATCTGTTTCTTTCTTGCCAAACTCCATAGCACCTACCTACAGAATAAAAACTTTTTTTTAAAACTATTTTCAATCCCTGGCAGAAACCAAGGAGCCCTGACAGTGTAGTAGGTGGTATTGTACCCTAGGCTGCTTGCTGACTGAAAGGTTTGAACCCATCCATCAGATGCTCCTCAGGTAAAAGGTGAGGCAGTATGCTCTTATAAAGACCTACAGCCTCAGAAATCCTAGGCCCACTTCTACTCTGTTGCTCACTCCCATGGAAGTGAATGGGGTGGTGGTGTGACAATGACAGAATATCCAGTAGGCAAGGTAATCATAGGCTCTTTTGTTTTCCTTACTAGTCAGAATCGTTTCAGATAGACTGAAAACCATGTGAATCTCAACAGATTGTTGTTGTCATTGTTAGATGCCTTCGAGTCAATTCTGACTCATAGCAACCCAATGATCATCAGCTTGAAACTGCACCTTATCCTGCATCAACCTAAGTTATGCAAACAGCACAACCTGTTTGTGGAAAATGATTAAGACTTGAAGTCCTTACTGAAGATCAAACACTATAACATTTAGTATGGATTGCATCCTTATGTCTGGGCCAATAGGTAACATTCCAATAAATGGAGAAAAGACTGAAGTTGTCAATGATTTCATTTCACAATCAACACTCAAGGTAGCAACATTTAAGAGATAAAAAGATGGGTTGCTTTGGGCAAATCCATTGTCAGCAACATCTTTCAAGTGCTAAAGAGAACAACATCCTAAAGACCAAGGTGCATTTGACTAAAATGGTCTTTCCAATTGTTTATAAGCATGATTATAAGTTAATTAGTGAATAAGGAAGACCAAAGAAGAATTCATGCTTTTTAATTGTGGTGTTGGTGAAATGTATGGAATATACCATAAACTGCCAAAACATAAACAAAGCTGTCTTAGAAGAAGTGCAGCCATTGTGGTCCATAAAGGAAAGATGGAGAAACTTTGTCTCACATAATTTGGGGTATGTTGTCAGGAGGCATCAGCCCCTGGAAAAAGACACCATGCTGGACAAAGTAGAAGGTCAATGGGAGAGAGGAAGTCAGTCAAGAAAGTGGACTGACATAGTGACTCACTACAGATTCACTCTCTCATTGCCATCCAGTAGGACGGAACTGACTCATAGCTGCTGACCTTCCAGCAGGTTTTCAGAGGCTATAAATCACACACGAGGAGATTGCTCATCTTTCTTCCTTGAAGCAGCTAGTGGATTTGAACTATCTGCCGTTTGGTTGGCAATGTAACTCCTTCTCCATTATGCTATCAAAGCTCCCTCACTATAGATTAGTAACTAAGAATAAGTTGTTGTTATGTGCCATAGAGATGCTTGCAACCCTATGTGCAGCAAGTTTGAAGCCAACTCTGCCTTGAGCCAATCTCACAATTCTGACACACCTAACCCCATTGCCCCAGTTACTGTATCAATTCATCTCACCTGAGGTCTTCCTTTCCTGCACTGTCCTTTCACCCTTCCAAGCACGATTTCTTCTCCTGGTCACATGCTCAAAGTATGTGAGATGGAACTTCAAAATCCTAGCCTCCAAGGAGAAACTTATTTTCTAGGTGGTCCATGGTATGTTCAAGACTCTTCTTCAGCATCACAACTCGAAGCATTGATTCTTCTTCTGTCATTGGCATTAGTCATTGTGCAGCTCCCTGATGCATAGCAAGTAATTATAAAGACCATAGCCTGGATCATGTTAGTCTCTAGACTGACATCGTTCCTTCTCAATACTCTGGAGAGGTCTCTGACAGCAGACTTTCCCAGTGCAATTTGTCTTTTTTTAAATTTTATTTTATTGGGAAAAACATAATGGGGGTACAAGGAGGTGAGGGTTGGGGGCAGAAAGGTGAGGATGGGCAAGGTGAGGATAGTTGCAGAGCTACACAATTTGGTTGGTGGGGGGAGCAGGTGAAGGAAATGAAAAGGATCCAGTGGGGACCAGATGCTACAGAGGAATGATAAGCATTTTCCAATGGCAATTAGACCAACTGTCTTATTGATTTGGGACCTGGATGCAGATTCTCTGGCTTCTTCATGCTTAACAGGGGCGTTGATGTCAAGGGGGAAAGGGAGGACACTTGATAACCTTACTGGTGGTCGTGGGTCAAAGCTGCTTGCCTTCCTGTTCTGTTGGAAGATATTTTCCTGTCATTTGCTCCCCTCTGGACTGCAAAGTGTTTTCCCAGGTGAGTTGAGTGGGGATGGCTGGTTGAACCCAGAGGCTCCATCCTCCTTTGCTTCCTTAGCTGGCAGTTGTATTTCCTTTTTGTCACTGGCACTGGAGTTCAGGGTCAGGTCTGGAGTAAAACTCAGTGTTAAGGTTACCTATAGGAAAGGGAGAAAGCCTAGAGAGAACAAACTTGTGAGTTACAAATAGAAGGGCTTTGGGGTGTTGCTTTCAGGTTTACTGGGGGAGAGGGTGGCGGAAAGTAGCCTAGATAAAATTCTCTGGATACCCTAGGATTTTTATTTGTTTTCCCCATCCAAGGGTCAGATGGCACAGTCTGGGGACTGAGAAGCTCACCCTGAGGGCCGTGATGGCCCACCCAGAGCCGAGGGCCAAGACAGCCCTCCCTGGGCAGAGGGCTGTGATAGCTCACCCTGGGCCAGGGGCTGAAGACAGCCCATCCCGAGCAGGGCAACACCCCCCAGGGGCTGGCTGGTATACTCCCCCTCCAATTGCCCCAACCCCAATGTGGTCCCCTCGCCTGATCGAGGACTATGTGTCCAAGGACAGTGTCTCCAATTCCAGCACCGCCACTTTTACCCCCCCCCCCCATAAGGGGTCATACTATAATTTGAAGTAGGTGTCACTGCCCTCCCCCTTTATAAATGTCAAAGGGAACCTGAGAATTGTGAACAGACTGCCCCCAGGTCTAAACAGCTTTTGGCAGAAGCATTCAACAGAACAAAATATGTGGTGCATTTAGGATGTCGGTTCTCTTGGACATGCTGCCACTGTTAAGTGTCATCAAGTAGGCAATTCACAGTGACCTTCAACAATCCATTATATGGGTGATCATCTTCTCTGGCCTGTCCAAGGAAACCCAAATCTGTAGCTGGCAGGCGCCCATCATCTCCCGCATGGGCAGCCGGTGGCTGCCTGTTTCCCCCGCAGCCGCCATCTTAGCTCCAAGAATTCTCCCCAGAACAAATCCACTTTGTGGCAGTGTGGCGGCTCTGCTGCACCAGTCTTGGGGAGGCCCAGTGCCATCCTGGGTGAGGGATTCCATAGGTTCCGGCTGTGGGAGCTTAATGGAGCTGCGGCGGTGGTGTGGTGTTGGCTCTGCAGGAGTGGGTTGGGAGCTGCAAGACTCACCCATTCCTCCTTGGGAATCCTTGAATTCCTGTTGTTGAGCCTCGATTTTCACTGAAGACCAGTCATCAACTGTTTAATTGTTCAATTATCAATAAATAGAGGTCTGTAGAAGGCCATAGTGGCCCTGCTCCAAGTGGTCTGCTGCTCCCGCAGCTCACCACGTTGTCTCTGCCCCCACCGCCATCTTGGATCTCTCTCAATTTGTCTTTTGATTTTCTAACTGCTGATGCCTGTGCTTATTGGCCAGTCCATCCCTCTGTGTATGTGTGTATGTGTGTACCCCTTGGAGGAGTCTTTGTGCTTATGTGTCCTGGGAGTGTCCACTAAGGGTGTGCCAGTGTAAGCATTGTCTATGTGTATGTGCACATATTGGTGAAGAACTTTATTCAGGTGTGTGTATATTCTTTTGTAGAGTCTGATACATGCCATGGTCTTTGCTATCACTTGTTATGCATCAGAGAGCTGGACAATGACTAA